TGCGATTGCGTTTTACGAAGAGCGTGACAGTATTCCCGCATATTTACTTTTATAGCCACCCGTCGGCACCGCCTATATATCTTAGACCGCTGAACTGCACTTTTAGAACTAAGAACAAATATATTACACTTTATATTACAGCAATTTTCCTTTTGCGCGAACATACACATTAAAGATATTAATGCCGCTTTGTTACATGCTTTGGGCATGTCAGCAAACAATAATTATTATTATTTACTAGCAGAACCCGCGGCTTCTAACTAACTACAAAAAAGTCTCTAAAAATGTAGTTTTATAGAAACTTTAATCCCCTATTTTACCCTCTTAAAGGATAGTGACATAGGCTACTTTTTACCGCGGAAAATTATCTAATTTCCACGAGAAAACACGTTATTATACAATCCAAAAAAATATTTATGATCAGAATTACTTGAAACTTGGTATTAATACTCTTCAATAAAATTAAATAAATATATGTTTTAGCATTTTTCGAAATTCATCTCATAAGGGTAAAGGTAAAATATCGGATGAAAGTTTGTATGAAACCTACCTTTTTAGAATTTTTGTTGTAGTTTTAGCGCGAGCGAAGCCGCGAGTTCTGCTAGTATTATATAAAAATTTATGATAATTAGATGATATCGATAAGCTTTTACTAAGTCTAGTTTGATAATAAGTTACAAAAATAACATTTTAGAAAAATTCCCTATAGCTAATCAAGTGAATCTCATAAGACAAACCGTAAAACAAACAAATCACTTCCAACACACTTCAATTATAATTGCTTTAATTTTACTAATTATATACGAGTGTAGCTACAACCTCTTCATATTAAAACATAAAATATACCTTCATTGGCTAGTTCGTGTATTAATAAACTTAATATACCTTAAACAGGAATAATCCAAAGATAACAATAATTAGGTCTATCAAAGCCAAGTTCACTTTGAATTGGGCGCCAGGCGTGATAAGAGATAATTCGACGAGAGGATTAGTGTACGCTACGATTATAGTGACGTATGTATGTGATACGAACTATAAAGATACAGCAGCTTATGGTTTTACGGTAGGGATTATGACTGCAAAGTGTATAGTTACGTTTGAGATAGTTAAACGCCTTAAATAGGCTTTTACTACAGCCTCGTTTATTTATACCTATACAGTTAAGAGTGTAGTAATTAATAGTAGGTTGATATATTTATTTAGAACTAGCGACTCACTCTCGATCCGCTCGGGTTCGTCTTTGATAACGTCTTAACGTTTAGTAGAAATTTTTCAGAGATGAGATATTTTCTTGCAGTAAAAAGTAACCTTCATAAAAAATATATCCTTTTTAAAAGTATCCCGGATAACCAGATATCATCACACTAAATTTCATCAAAATCTGTCCAGTGTCCACACAGACAGACAGACAAAAATTCTAAAAACTATAGATTTGGCCTCTGTATTTCGTTAATGACTATTACAATAAAATTATCCGAAAAATATTTAATGTACAGATTGACTTAGTTGGAATTTTATTATAAAATAATAAATTAATATAAAATAAACTATTTTAATATGTTATGCTGCAATCTCTAAAGAACAACAGCGAATGGTAAAAACTGGTGTAGTGAGGTGACTATACGAAGATATAATACTCGTGGGTGCCTCGGTGGTGTAGTGGCTAGCATGTACGGCAGTTGGGAAGTTGGCGGTGTTTCATTCCCGTGCCTCGGAGAGCACGTAAAGCCGTCGGTCCTGCGCCTTAACTCTCACAGGTCGTGTCGAATGGTCGTCCCACCAGAGTATGAGAGTGACAGGAATAGAGAGTGCACGTTGTGTCTGCGCGTACACTTGTGCACTATAATATCTCCTGCGCAGTTGGCAAGTCTCAATGAGATTGGCCACCGTGATCGGAATCGGTCAGGAGAACATCTCGTGGGTATTATAGTGTAGTATAGGAGCTATTACAGTGCAAAGAGCACTTGTGTCTGCGCACTGTCTATTCCATTCACAAAGTCTGGTGGTAAGATATGACCGGTGAGAGATTAGACGCAGAACTATTAATATTATTTAGTCATTAGTCCAATAAATACGTAAATATGTTGCGGACATTAACACACAGCGCCATCTAGTTCCATAGTAAGCTACGAGGCTTGTGTTATGGATACCAGATAGTTGATACGCTACACATATATAACTTTTAAATGCATACATATATTATATATATAAACACCCATGACTGGGATACAAACATTAATGCTCATCATACACATGAATGCGCCCAGTGGGACTCGACCCGCGACCGCTGGCGCAGCAGGTAGGGTCACTACAAACTGAGCCAAACGTGTCGTCATAAGAACCAAACGTGTCGTCAATGAGATCAATAAATATATTACGTGATGAAACCAAACCCTCTAGCAAGTATTACAAAGTATACACATTTTTTTATTGAAATTTAAAACTATTACACCCATAACAGAACAAAAAGAGTATTGTCTACTACACTGGAGGTCTGATACCTGGCCAATTATAAAAAATACGTTCTGTGTGATACTATTAGGTACATCGTCTTTGTCCACCTTGTACATACAATTTACATACATATACGTCTTCATTTTACTCAGCCGATCGTAATAAACCAATTTTCCACGGAAATTACTTCATATACATTATTTAAATGCATATATCTAATATAAGGCTTTAAATTTTCATGGTCACTGATATTATTATGATGTAAAACGAAATATTCGCCATGTTTAGCACTTACTTTTGCGAGTTCCCGATATTTCGCCACTGCTAATAGCCATGGTGGTTGTCCAAGTGGGTATACCCATGCAACATGGTAACAAATCCGTGTTATATCACAGTAAAGTATTTATCTGTTCATTTTCAGCCAATATACTATGTTTGAGCAAAATAAACCTTTGTTTTACATGAAAAAAGGAAAAACTAGCTATCATATGTGCTCAGGCATTACTAGCATACTTTCGGATTTATAATATTCATAGGTTTGGTTGATTCCAAACCCTTAATACTTATCATAAGTAAATAAAATCACGTTTAATTTTTTACAACTGAACTTATATCAAAAATACATTTTTCATGAAAATTCAAAAGACAAAGTTTTTTCTATTACAAATTGCGCGTCAACTTAGGTAATAAATCACAGAGAAACATCCACAAACTATTCCTAAAATTCAAATCTATGGGAATCGTCGACATCGGACCATTGCGTTTTTACCATGACTTTGTGTACAACAAAGTATAAATATTAGATTTATTCAAATTTATTGACCTCATGTAAATTGTTGAGTTATTATTTAAAAAAAAATGTATTACTAATAATTGATTTCAACTCAAATTAAAACCACTTTGTTCACTTTTTTCTGTTTGATTACATTCCTCTAAATTTTATTTTTATATTTATTCTATCATATAAGTCTAAATTCATTAAGCATTTTTTTATTTATTTTTGTCTTATTTACATTGATAAATTATAGTTATCATCCAAATAGTACAAATAAATATAAAAAACTTATATCTTCTCTTATTATAATATTGTTAAACGCCTTCTTCGAAGAAACCTGTAGTCTCAGACTGCACAATATTTATTTTTCAGCTCTACTCTTTGCCTTATTAATTTTATAAACTAGAATTGTAATTTAAAGACTTTTTATATTGTAACTATTATTTATTTGTTAACACACATTGTTATTTCTTATCTAGGCAACGGATGGCAATTGTTTTCCGACGCTTATTATCCTCAATTTCGAGTCAAAATAATATCTATATTCTTAATAAAATAACTATTTAATTCTGAGCGGAAAGTGTCATTTGAGATACCAAAATATTCATAATATATATAGTTTCGTGGTCTATTATATATAATATTTACACATATCCGCTCTATTGAATACTAAAAATATCTAAAGTCGGTAACAACTCGGCCATCCGAAAGCTTTACGAGTCCCTCGTAATAAATAAAGATAACACAAAAAAAACATAAGAAAAGCAAAAATAAGCAAATTCAATAACCGATAATTACTCTTAACTATAATAAATTCAACAAAGCTAACCTTTCATTTTAACCAGCTTAATTCTAATTTAATTTTAATTCCTCACATTATATATTTATAATACATAAATATTATATTCTTAGTATATCTTTTATAAATTTACAAATATCTATCCAATCATCATGACTTTAAACAATATAATTCCAAACTATTTCATTCGAAAGATCCATGACATTGATCTTTCCTACTTAACTAAAAAAAACAATTATATTTTGCTGATCCATGACATTGATCAACCTCTATAGAAAAGACGGAACAATAACACATTAGTTGATCCATGACATTAATCAACCAATATGCCTCTGATACGACCCATGACATTGGCCATCTCAGAGATGCACAAATCCATGACCTTGATTTGTACATATTACGCCGTTACTTTCCATCGTTACATTATAACATTACATAATAATCATAACAACAGTTCATAAGAAAAGACGGAACAATAACACATTAGTTGATCCATGACATTAATCAACCAATATGCCTCTGATACGACCCATGACATTGGCCATCTCAGAGATGCACAAATCCATGACATTGATTTGTACATATTACGCCGTTGCTTTTCATCTTTACATTATAACATTACATAATAATCATAACAACAGTTCATGACATCGAGCGAAGTTATTATTTGTTGAATTAACATTATTATTAAACTTATATAGATTCATTTACTTGATGACTTTTATCATGACATGACATTCATCATTTATAAAATAATGCAACTTTGTAATTATGTTAATAAGGTAAAGTTATTTAACATCATTATAATTTATTATTTATTTTTCTTTTACATTGCTAACAACATTAGGTACATTTACCTCATCATTCATGGATTCACTATCAGAAGAGCTCTCATTATCAGAGGATATTTGATGAGTAAAATTTAACCAAGGGAATATTTTATCAATTGCCACTATCGATTCATAGCGTCTACCCTTTCTTGTGATTGGAGTATCTTCGAACCTCGTGAATATTACGCGGAGTAGGGAACTTTTCTACGGCTTCAGTCTTGGGAGTACCTGGTCGTATACTAGAAGAACTAACCTCATACCCAAGGTAATCAATTTTATCGTAGAAAAAGTGGCATTTACTTAGCTTCAAAGTTAAACCATTTTCCTTTAATAGGTTAAGAACTTCCCTTAGTCTAACTAATGAGCTAGTAATAATCAAATGAGCTAGACGGAATTAATATATCGTCCATGTAAACAAGAACATATGAACGAACGGGGGATTTTTGTATGTATATATTTTTGTATATATTGATTGTTGTACATTGTATATATTTTTGTATTATAAATATATTTGTTGTATAAATGGCATGCGATTGTATTCATATTGGCCATCGGGTGTCACGAAGGCAGTCTTTTCACGCGATTCTTCAGCAATTGGGATCTGATAATAGCCCGACGCAATATCTAAAGTTATATAAAGAGAGCTACCAGCTAAAAGATCGAGTTGGTCTTCTATCCTAGGTAGGGGATAATGTTCCCGCTTAGTCTTTTTGTTTAATGCGCGATAGTCCACACAAAGCCTTTTTGCCTAACATTTCGGTGAGAAGTTCAGCATAATTTTCTCGCGATGGGAAAGATTCTTTAAGCCTAAATTTCCAGTCAGCCCATGATAATAAAAGCGATGACAACCCCTGATACCATGACTTCGCTATCCCTGTAAGTTTTGGCAAAGCATAGTGAACGATTTGCTTCTCGTCCCAGCTATATATTTGAGCACATTCTTCTATTTTATGAATCCATGAATCAATTGTTTGTTCTTTACAAAGTGGATCAAATTCGGGTACAACATTATTAAGAACTGGGAATTTGTCACGTTCTACAGTACCTTTGTCCTTAATACCTTGCATTACTTTAATAAACTGTTCGAAAAATAATCGCTGAGTATCCGCATACCTTGATTCACCTGTGAGGTCTGTAGCAACTGGAGTCACGCCTGGTGAAGCAGCAGTCTGCGCCATATGAGCCGTATGCGCCACGCCCGTGGATGCCTGGGGCATGACAGGAGTATAGGACCTTACACTCCGCGAGCGTCGCGGCCGTCTCGTTTCATCGCGACCATGATGCCTTAAACGCCTGGCACCGCTACGACTACGGTGCCTTGATCGGTGGCGCCTGTTACTCTTGCTACTCTTGCCACTCTTTGTATGCCTGCGGTGGCGAGAGTGATCACTACTTAGTGAAGAGTCACTCTCAGTAGACTGTGTTCTTTTCTTTCGTTTAGGCATTATCGTAGTTAACCTCAAAAAGACACAAAAACGAATATTTAAATGACATGAAACTATACTCCAAATAAAGATAATAATCTAAAAAAAATAGTTTTAATATTAAAACTACTCAAATGTTACTTTCATAGGATAGGTATCGAACTAATTCATTAAATTCCATTTACATTTCTTTTACATATTATGTCTACGAACATACTATAATAATATTAAAATAAAATATATTAAAAAAAATGTGATTTTGATACCTATCAAAATGTGACCATAACAATCATATCTAAATTGGTATAATTAATAACTATCCTTTATTTTTATATGACAAAACCTTACAATTTCATAAAAAAAAAGAGAGGGTAAAAAAAAATTTATCCTTATATGAATCTTTAAAGAAAAGGGAAAATATTATTATTTCATACTCTTACACGTCCTCTTTTTTATTGATGTGGGCAGAGAGGGATCACACCGAAATAATATAATATCTCAGTGCGATCCCACTTCTGAGATGTTAAACGCCTTCTTCGAAGAAACCTGTAGTCTCAGACTGCACAATATTTATTTTTCAGCTCTACTCTTTGCCTTATTAATTTTATAAACTAGAATTGTAATTTAAAGACTTTTTATATTGTAACTATTATTTATTTGTTAACACACATTGTTATTTCTTATCTAGGCAACGGATGGCAATTGTTTTCCGACGCTTATTATCCTCAATTTCGAGTCAAAATAATATCTATATTCTTAATAAAATAACTATTTAATTCTGAGCGGAAAGTGTCATTTGAGATACCAAAATATTCATAATATATATAGTTTCGTGGTCTATTATATATAATATTTACACATATCCGCTCTATTGAATACTAAAAATATCTAAAGTCGGTAACAATATAAACTCGCAAGTATGAAACTTCACACGCGTATACCTACATCCATATTTCCAATTAGTTCACGACCACTAAACATTACTTCCGTTTTACATTAAACCGCTTATTAGAGCTAACTCAAGCTGTATCTTTCTATCTAATAGTTTAAAATAATTGTAAAACAATGAAACACTTTTCCTGATATAATCATTATATTGACAGTAATTAATAAAATTTATATATACAACAGAAAATCATACGTCCGCCCAAACGTCAATCAATATCTTCGTCGTCATACTTTTCCTGCCTGCCTGGCACCTGCGTAGACGAACACCACAGAGGTTGTATGAAGGCGTACTTGATGTCTTCGAATAAACTAGCGGCGCGTAACAATATTTACCAAGGTTTTAATTATGGAGGGTAGAGGTAAGGAGACGGCTCTGAGTATAATAGTGTACGATAGTTTTGCGTAAGCCAACGACCTTTTTTTTCAGCACTGGACTGGACTGGACGCTTTTTATAAATTTTTTTCTAACAAACTTAAAAATTATAATCTGGAACGATTTACGCGTTAACTATAAAAATTTTAGTGAACGTGCGCTATATCTTAGCAAAATTCCATCATATTCATGATGATGAATATTTCAGAGACCTCTGCGACCTAAGCACAATATTTATTTTTTAATCCAAAAATAAAAATTATAAGCTTAAAGCATATTCTTCACAGCGAAACGAAACACTGAGCTTTAAAACTTAAATGACCTATTTTATCTTAACTTTTATATAAAACTTCTAAAACTGTTGTTCGTAAAAGTATACTAGGGAGCGATTATGCAACTTCCACATCTGCAACGGCGACAATAAATCACGGCAGAACATCCGCGTGCGACGCGAAATCTTTATTAGTACTAACGTACCATGCATGACTCCCTTGGCTCTCGTTCGGCTTATGAATTGTTTTCATACTAAATTTGCTTACACAGATCTATGCATATTAGAGCTTACAAATAATTGATAACTACATCCATACTAATATTATAAATGTGAGTGTGTTTGTTTGTCCTTCTTTCACGAATATATATGTATATATATATATTCCTCCTTATGAACCTACTATACTATATCTACTTAGAGCAAAAGAAATATTTCAGGTTTGCCAAATTTGAAATTTATTTTATTATTATAAATCGTGTATTTTTCTATTAAGGTAAATCTTCTTAAAATCGTTTAAGTAATTTCAGAGATTATCCTCTACACACAAACATATTTTACCCCGTTATGAAGAGCATGTTTCTAAAGGTATTGGTACTAAATTAAAATATTATTACAAGATACATTAAAACTTTGCTGATTAAAGCACTCTTGAAGCAGTCATTAATGTCTAAGTTTAATTGGATGAACTTCAGGGATATTATTGATCAAAATAACAGCAGTTCTATATGTTTATGTACTTGCTAGCTGTTTATGTTAGTTTCTTGTTTATATGACTGAATGTATGACAGAAGGTCGTAAGCTTCGACTCCTGGGTTGGGCCGAAATATTTATTAGGCTTTTCAATCAAGAAATATTCAAATGCAACCCTGAGCTCGATAGTCGGCGCGGCGGTGTGTACACCCCCTGTGTGTGCCTCACAGGATATGTTAGGCTGTTTGTTGGTCTTGCGTATCTTTCACCCGTCGCGTCGAGTTGTTGTCTTACCGGAAAATGTGGGTTAAAGAAATAGAGTGTTTTAGTGTCTGTATACACACTTGTTCACTATAATTTGTCTATTATTTGTATACAAGTAATATTATATTAATTTTGATATCATCTATACTAATATTATAGAGGCAGAGTTTGTTTTGTTTGATCGCACTAATCTCAGGAACTACTAATCAAATTTAAAAAAGTCTTTTTGCATAAGATAGCCCATTTATTGAGGAAAGCTATAGGCTATATATCGTCATGCCACCCAAGGGAGCTAAGCAGTAATGATAAATGTCAACAATATTTACCATCACAAAAACTGACTAACCTCTGTATTTAATCTACACTATAGAGTGTTTAATATAAGTTAGTCGTACAAATTAATTAATGGTCCGCGCGGCGCGATTACATCTAGACTGATACGGGCGTTTATCGTTTAATATGGAAACTAGATGGCCAGCTTAATGGCGTAACTTAATATATATAACGTACCTAGATATTGCTTTGGCATAGCTTGTAAATTGCATATTTATGAAACACCCCTAGGAAAATCGTTGAGAAGTTTGTATTAATCCTAATTCTTTTTCTAATATAAAAGTAGCCAAGTTACTCCTTCTAACATCAGCTATCTGCCAGTGAAAGCCCCATCGAAATAAGTCCATCCGTTTCGGAGATTAGTCAGAACAAACAGATAGACAGATATAAATTATAAAACTTATGTTTTTTATAAGTAAACAATTTCATATGCATTTAGTAAAAAGCTGTTATTTTGACATTACAAACGGACACTTTAATTTTATTTATCTGTATAGATAATCTACATCTCCCTTGTACGAGTATAACAACAAAATAATTCTAAAATACACACAGACAATGTACTCATCAGTCAGTTTGTAGTTTTTTTTTCAGGTTTATAAGAGTTGACTACAGCTGCTTTTAAGCATTAGAACTAAGGGATTAGTGTGTCTTCCCATGCATTAAAATGTGCACTTAATGTAGCTATACAGTATGTCCCATGGTGCATGATAGAGAAGTTGCTTGATGTCAACGAGCTCTCATAGAATTTCAGAATGGCATTATGGTGTAAGTTAATTTAATGTAGATATATATATCTGCTTTCTATTGTAAAAAACGATTGATAATTATAGTAGTATATTGTGAGAAATGATTTTTTTTATCCCATAAATTTGTATTATAAATGCGAAAGTTTGGATGGATGGATGTTTGTTACTCAATCATGCCAGAACGGCTGAACGGATCTGGATGAAATTTGGCATAAAGATAGATTATAGTCTATTCCATAGCACATAAATTACTTTTATCCGGGAAAATGTACGGTCCCCGTGGGATATTCCTACTAGCCGTTAAAATGTACCAGGGACGAATCTGAGCGGGGCGAGGATGAATTGCTAGTTAAATATATTTTATAAGGAGGTCTCAAATAATTTTCCAAATTATTTCCTACCTCACATTGAGGAGAGGCCCGTACCCAGCAGTGGAAAAAAAAAGAGCTTAATTATTATTATCATTACACAAACTAATAATAATTACTTTATATTGTAGTTTATATAAACTATAATATAAAGTTTAATATTGTATATATATATAATAAACTAGCGTTGCCCGCGGCTGCGCCCGCGTTCAGATGACGAGAAACCAAATTCTTAGGTTTTACATATTAGTATACTCTTACATTCCAGTTTTTATATTTTTTCTCAAAATTGAGATATTTTCTCGCGGTAAAAAGTATCCTTTATGTCGACTCGGATAATCAGCTATCACCGTACCAAATTTCATTAAAATCCCTCTAGTGGTTTTTCTGTAATGCGGTAACAGACAGACAGACAGACAGACAAAAATTCTAAAAACTATAGATTCGGCCTCTGTATCAATAATAATGTTTATTTCAATAAGATTTTCCAAAAAATATCTGATGTACAGATTCGGCTTAGTTACAATTTTATTATATGTATAGATGAATCAACACACAAATGAAATTTAAAACCTCATAAATGTCTTTCTCTAATTAAGATTTTCTAAGATATTTTCCGTAAAATAAGAAATAGCCTTAATTTTTATTATCTCTATGATTACCATCATACGTCATGACTGAGAGTGTACACCATTCATTCTTGAAAGCGGAAGGCCAATAACAGTATATCATACCCTCTTGCGGTTAAACTACAACATAACTACGCACTATGTATATAAAATTCTTTATGACAATATAGATCTTATTTATACAGAAATAAAGTATGTTTTGTTTTGATATATTTCGGCTATTAGTATCATATATTCATAGTAGGTAGCGGTAGGCAGTACTCGGAGTGAATCATTGTTGATGACTCCATATTTATTAGAAGTTACGATTTTGCTCGATATTGTTTTAGTCGCTGAGTATAAACAAGCATCTGTTCATATAACTATTTATTACTTCCTATTCTTTCGAGGATT